TAGGTTGCCTCCCTCATTCAGTAAGGGGCCCACGCTTCCCTTGACTTTCTTCTTGTTGCTAACATACCTGAAGAAACCCTTCTTGTTACTCTTAATGTCTCTTGCTAGCTGCAACTCCAGGTGTGATTTGGCCTTCCTGATTTTACTCCTGCAAGCCCGAGCAATATTTTTATACTCATCCCTGGTCATTTGTCCAATCTTCCACTTCTTGTAAGCTTCTTTTTTGTATTTAAGATCAGCAAGGATTTCACTGTGAAGCCAAGACAGTCACCTGCCATATTGACTATTCTTTCTACACATCGGGATGGTTTGTCCCTGTAACCTCAATAAGGATTCTTTAAAATACAGCCAGCTCTCCTGGACTCCTTTCCCCCTCATGTTATTCTCCCAGGGGATCTTGCCCATCAGCTCCCTGAGGGAGTCAAAGTCTGCTTTTCTGAAGTCCAGGGTCAGTATTCTGCTGCTTTCCTTTCTTCCTTGTGTCAGGATCCTGAACTTGACCAACTCATGGTCACTGCCTCCCAGGTTCCCATCCACTTTTGCTTCCCCTACTAATTCTTCCCGGTTTGTGAGCAGCAGGTCAAGAAGAGCTCTGCCCCAGTTGGTTCCTCCAGTACTTGCACCAGGAAATTGTTCCCTACATTTTCCAAAAACTTCCTGGATTGTCTGTGCACCGCTGTATTGCTCTCCCAGCAGATATCAGGGTGATTGAAGTCTCCCATGAGAACCAGGGCCTGCGATCTAGTAACTTCCGTGAGTTGCTGGAAGAAAGCCTCGTTCACCTCATCCCCCGGGTCCGGTGGTCTATAGTAGACTCCTACCACGACATCACCCTTGTTGCTCACACTTCTAAAGTTAAGCCAGAGACCCTCAGGTTTTTCTGCAGTTTCATACTTGAGCTCTGAGCAGTCATACTGCTCTCTTACATACAGTGCAACTCCCCCACCTTTTCTGCCCTGCCTGTCCTTCCTGAACAGCTTATATCCATCCATGACAGTACTCCAGTCATGTGAGTTATCCCACCAAGTCTCTGTTATTCCAATCACATCATAATTCCTTGACTTTGCCAGGACTTCCAGTTCTCCCTGCTTGTTTCCCAGGCTTCGTGCATTTGTGTATAGGCACTTGAGATAACCCGCTAATCGCCCCTCTTTCTCAGTATGAGGCAGGAGCCCTCCCCTCTCACATGCTCCTGCTCGTGCTTCCTCCCGGTATCCCACTTCCCCACTTACCTCAGGGCTTTGATCTCCTTCCCCCGGTGAACCTAGTTTAAAGCCCTCCTCACTAGGTTAGCCAGCCTGCTTGCCAAGATGCTCTTCCCTCTCTTCGTTAGGTGGAGCCCGTCTCTGCCCAGCACTCCTCCTTCTTGGAACACCATCCCATGGTCTAAGAATCCAAAGCCTTCTCTCTGACACCACCTGCGTAGCCATTCGTTGACTTCCACGATTCGACGATCTCTACCCAGGCCTTTTCCTTCCACGGGGAGGATGGACGAGAACACCACTTGCGCCTCAAACTCCTTTATCCTTCTTCCCAGAGCCACGTAGTCTGCAGTGATCCGCTCAAGGTCATTCTTGGCAGTATCACTGGCGCCCACGTGGAGAAGCAGGAATGCAGTAAGGAACATCTGTCACACAACCTGCGATGTGTTCTTCCATCCTCTTCAGGGGAGAATTGTGAGGAGTGTGTAGTGGTTTGATAGGGTGTACAGCTGTAGGTACATGCATATGCTGGTGTGTGTTTATAGAGATGTTTATCCTCTTGGAAGAGAATCAGAGTCTGGCTCCTACTTCACCCCCTCATACTTCTCCAACCCTTTCCTTTTAATGATAAAAAGGCAGATGGCAAAGAGCGTGAGGAGCTCTCCTACTGTTGCTGACCTAGACCTAGTTCCAAGAACAGACCTTACTTTCCTGGCAGCAAACTCCCTAGCTGAGCACTGCCACAAAGACCCTCACTCACACAGGGTAGAGGGGGCATGTGGTAGTGATTTGCCTGGCCCATTCACAGACCAATCCGGGACAGGTTTGTGAAGGCGTCTCTGAAAAGCCAGGAAGGGCGGGCAAAGGGAAAAGAGAAAAATCAAGGCACAGATTCCCACAATCTTGAGACAAACGCCCTTGAAATGCTCCTGGCCCTGCTTTCTCCTCCGAGTCACTGACAGGGGAGCTGGGCCTTTGAGCCCTACCAAAGCTGTGCAGAGGGGAAACTTAGCCTGACTAGATACAGAGCACTAAATCACTGCAGCCCAACAGGTCTTTAAGATAAGCAGCTATTTCAGTGTCTAAAGACTGGAAGCCATGGAGTGAGCAAGACACAGCACTGTGCAGGAGCAGCTCAGGACAGGAAGAACTTCCAGGCACCCTAGTCAGATTCAGTCTGACAAATGACATGATGAAAGCACAATGCAATGCAGCCTGTAGCCTTAACTTCCAGTTCCCACAGTCACTGCGTAAACTGGACAATGCCACAGGACAACATCTGCAATCTATCAAGCCCTGCATTTTTAGTTATGCAACAGACTGTACAGCTGAGACGCCCAAGAGCTGGGGGATGAGAACAGGAAGGATGAGAACAGGCATGAGGGCAGATCTTTCAGCCACTCCAGAGTTTCCTACAAGGGAGAGAAGTGGGCAGGGATACACCAGGACACACACTTGGGCCCTACCTGACACTGGGCTTTGGAAGCAGCATGAACCTGCAGTTCCAGCTAAATCAGTTCCAAACACATTTGGGCTGAACAGTATAAACTTGGTCAAACTAGTAGTTATTTTCAAAACCCACCAAGGGGACATACTGCGCATGGGGGCTGGTGAGGTTTTAGCTCTTCACATCTATCTCTAGACCTAGAGCCCTCAACCATGTCAGAGCTCCAGCGTATTAGCACTAAACAAATGCATGGTAAATAACAGTCCCTATTCCCCACTGAGCTAACAATCTAGACATAATTGCTGGGTTAAAAAACAAAAACAAAAAAACAGAGGATGTGGTAACAAACAGACTAGCTATACTCACAGTTCATAGGAGAGTTAAGCTAAATTACCCTGCTGCAGATAGCAGCAAAGCCAGCTGCTGTCCAAGAGGAGGGATAAACAGTCAGGGACTCTCTCCAAACACACTTCAAATTAAAACCAAATTCACTAAAAAAAAATAAATAGATCCATTTATCGTTTAAATTACATCAGCTCTTGGCCACCCAAACCCCTCTCCATTATAATGAAGCACCGTGACCTGGGAGCTCAGGAAATGTTTGGAACAGGACAGCTGAAATGTCAATGTTCAGTACAAGACCTCCCACTTTGTTAAATTTGCTCATCTTTTTTGCTTCCTGGTCCAGCACAAACACAGTTAGTTCAAGGGCCCAGGTGTGTTCATGGAACTGGACAGGAAATGATTTTCAGAAATAGCAAGCTGGTGCCTATCTTCTTTAGAACTCTCTAAGCAGGGTCAATGTAGGAGTTGAACTGGGCAGTGTCTGCAGAGACACATTTTGCTGAATGCTCAGCAATTAGTCAGTGGTTGTCTAGTCTTCTGTAGCCACATTCCAGGACACATGAAGCTAGGGATGTGTCTATATAAAGAACCAATGTCTTCCTACTAATCCAATGCGCAGAAATGAGGAAGGACTATGGGATAAAAATAAAAGCAGCTTTTTCTTACAAAACAGTTTTGTACACTCTATAAAGCTACCTTTGGCAGCAAAACTGTTCTGTTTCACTGACAAAATAAAACCACCTTGATGAGAAGCATAGAGCTTTTTGTGACAGAGTTAAAGCAACAAAAGGGTCAGTGTAGGTGCTGCTGTTTGTTATGTCGACATAACTGGCCTCCCCCAGTATCTCACAATGCCCGCTCTGTTCACTGTTTTGAAGTTGTCTACCCTGCATCTAGCTACGCAGGCACGTGCCCCTCCCCTTTCACATCTCTGGGAAGTTCTGACATTTCTCAGCATGGAGTGCTCACAGAGCTGCTGAGGAGGCTATGGGAGAACTGAGAGGGAATCACAGAGCCATTAATGTAGAATGGGGGGGCTGATATGGGTGGAGGGCATCCCCCTCCCTCAGGATTGGTTGCTCAGGCAGCTGTGTCAATTTAAGAGACACCATGCAAACACTCTTCCCCCCCTCCTTCCCCCAAAACACACAGTCTCTCTCACATATCTATTCCCCACACACACAATCTCTCACTCACTTCCCCAGTCTGTCTCTCCCACCTCACACACACACGCCCTGTCACACACTTTCCCTTCCCCCTTCTCCCCACTCCACTTTAGTTGAAAAGCAGCTGGCAATCTCATAGGATGCCCATGGAGCGATGGGATTGAGAAATCTACATCATAGGATGCTGTACCCGGCCCATGAGGCATTGCAAACCCTTCCCAAAGTACCCTATGCCCAGTTAGATAACTGTGTCAATGCAAGAGCTGCTAGTGTGGATGTGCTCTGCTGGAGCATAATGTAGACATGCAACAGTGGTTTAATGAAAGTGGCATAACTTTTGTTGACAAAACTCTGTAGTGTAGACAAAGCCTTAAAAGAGACACTTATTCTGGTATAAGAGTGTCTCCATACCAGAGGTGGCAACAACACTGTCAGTTTAAATTCACACCTTAGTTCATACAGAAAACACCTTTTCCATGTAAAGAGTGCCTGAGTTAACAGTAGGATTGGGATTGTGGGGGCACCAAAGCAACACTACGGCAGTCTACAGGCTAGGAGTTTGATTTATATCAGCTGAAGTTTTCCCATATCAGGATGTGAATAGCTGCCAGTAACTTCAGGGAAAATTACTGTACACTGCATCTGAAGACTAGAGCTGCAAGGCAGCAACTATGCTGCTGATAGTAAAGAGCCATCCCTAGCAGTGCAGAGACATCAGCTGGCATAGGCTTACCACACCATGGAACAGGTAAAGGAGAAGAGAAGGCTAGAAGCGACCCACAAAGTATTAAAAAGAAGGATGTACCATTTTTTACGGTGTTTTCTTGCATGATTTATTACCTTGTCAAAAAACAGGAATGTGAAGTCTGCTGGGGGTCTCAGAAATGGGTACTTTGAGCACTCACATCTGAACTGAAGGGACGAAGTTGTGTAGCTTAAAGAGACATCTTTTCTCCGAAGTGCAGTAAAAGAAGCGTCAACAAAATACAAAGTGATTATAATGATTAAAAATCACTTCCCCTCAATCGCTGCAGCTTTCAATGTGGTCTCTGTCACAATTTCACTCATTCTCTAGTCACCACAGAATCTCCCAAGATAGACAAGATCTGAAGCACTAATCTAAAAGAAGAAGCAGAAAACACTGACAAAAACCTTTCAGCAACAAGCAGCAAAAAAAGACAAGCCTGATTCCTTCCCATCTCCCCAAGTCCTTTTTAAAGAGCAGTACCAGGAGCCAAGAAACCTAGGTTCCATTCCAAGGTCTTCCTGTGTCAGTTTCCCCATCTGTAAATTGGGATAATGCTTCCCTGTGGCAGAGGAGCATGGTGAAATGTAATTCATTACTATTAGTGAAGAAGAGCTTTGAGATGGGAACGGAAGGGGCTAGGAGAACGACAACACGTTCTCTGGGCTAGAGCTCTGCACGAGACTAGCGTAGAGACCTGCAGTAGGGCTGAGATCTCGCAATAGTGGGAGCAGGTGGGAGTAGGATTAAAAAACAATCCAGCGTAGGGCTCCACTCAGGGCAACTTCATCTTTTATCAGAGTTTGTTCTTTAACACACTTTCAAAATTCTAATTTATTCTCCACCTCACCGTTCCAGACTACTCTGCCATATTACCCACTCTTCACATAATACACCAGGGTGAGAGTGAGGGAGAGGGAAGAGACAGTAGCATTCACCCTTGGACTATTTTACTTATCTTTCTTTTAAGGACTCTAGATAACATGTATCAGAGTAACAGCCGTGTTAGTCTGTATTCGCAAAAAGAAAAGGAGTACTTGTGGCACCTTAGAGACTAACCAATTTATTTGAGCATGAGCTTTCGTGAGCTACAGCTCACTCCATCGGATGCATACCGTGGAAACTAACCAATTTATTTGAGCATGAGCTTTCGTGAGCTACAGCTCACTTCATCGGATGCATACCGTGGAAACTCCACGGTATGCATCCGATGGAGTGAGCTGTAGCTCACGAAAGCTCATGCTCAAATAAATTGGTTAGTCTCTAAGGTGCCACAAGTACTCCTTTTCTTTTTAGATAACATGTAGAGACCTGTAGCAGATTCCAGTAAGGCAAGTACTCCTCATTGGTCATGTGCTGCCTGTGTTACTGGAGACTAGGGAGACACTACGTTTTAAAAATATTCAGCTACAGGTTTTTAGGGGAGCGGGTCTCCATGTCTATAGGGGACCAAGGCTTAGCTGAAAGGGAATGTAACTGTTGCTAGAGCTGTTAGGCACCTGCTAGAGGGTCTCCATATCCGCTTAACCCAACATTAAAACACCCGAGTCCTCTTAATTTATTTGAATCATACTTTAAATGTATTCACTTGTGAAAGAAAATAATTTTTTTTTTAGGTTGGAATGCAACAAAATTAGAGACAGCTTTATTTTAGGCAATTGCCAGGGAAGAAATATAGCTGACAGAGTATTTTTGCTTCAGTTTTTTTAAAGTATAAACAATAAGTTATTAACATTTATATTTTTTATGGAATGCATTAATTAAAAAACATTTGCAATTTATGTTATGTTTTGCTTATTTTTGTTTTATTTTTGTTTTTATAAAATTTGTAAGATTAGGTTACATTGATTTTGTTTTTTATTTGCTACAGACACAGTTTGCTTTTTTAAGTTTTGCATTATGAGATTTTAGAGTTAGCTTGACTGTGCTTTGTTTTGATATAACTGAGGGGCTTATAGTTAAATTTTTTAATTTTTGTTTTTATTTTTTTTTGTGCGGTCCTCAGCACAACTAACATTTTAAAGTTTTTAATTGCATTATGCTTTGCATTTTTGTTTTTAGTTTAAAAGGGTTAGAACTATTTTTATAAATTTTAGCTGGATATAATGATAATGCATGATTAGTATGAATATGAAAGGCATTTTTGTTATTACTTTTTTTATAACAACATTTTTATACTAAACAAAAGCAAGATAAGCATTACTGCTTTTATTGTAACAATATGCTGGGGTTGATTTATTGCTTTAGTTATATAGCACATTACATTATAACTAATACATAAAGTAGACACTTTATAGGCTGTGTGAAAAGCATGTTTTTTAATTTGATATATGTTTTGTAGCAAATGGATTCGACCCTGTAAATTAGAAATTTTTTGAACTTTTAGTAGGAGTGAAGGCAAATTTTGGAATTGATTGGGTATTAAACTGGTTTAAATAAAAGAAATTTGAAAACTAAGATTTAATTGAAGGGTTTTATTTTGCTGGCTAATATATAAAGTGATGTTCCATGGTCACGGTGAGGTTAAAATGCATGTTTAGCAAAGTAGTGGCCTTTACATACACACAGATATTATTAACTTGGAATAGTAACTGTTTTGTTAGGGTGGTTTTTTGTTTTATACCTTTTTAACAAACCTTGTTAAACGCTGTGACAACTTTTTTTTGCTTTAATTTTTTTACACATTGAAGCTGCAGGGGTTTTAAAGGATAAAATGTTTATTGATTTTAATTTAAATATTGGGTGTTATTTTAGGAGCACTAACAATAAAATGGCTAGGCACATTAGGTGGTCTAATTTTTTAGATATTATGGTGAATATTTTAGTTTTATATGCATTTTTTTATGGACCCGGCAGGATTTGGTATGTGGGAGCCCATACCTCTTTAACCGGCCCATAGGCTTGGAAGGAGCACCGTGAATACTTGCACATTTATTTTGAAAATTTTTAAGTGTGTTTTTATGGCCACAAATTAGATGGTACTTTTGAAGCACTAGTAAGGGCAGTGGGCCAAGCCTGATGTTTAAGATTATTTTGAATGGCCATTAGCTGGTTATTTAGGAAATACTGAATTTCCGAACATGCTAGATTTTATTGCAATTTTTAATAGGGGTTATTTGGTGGAGAAAAGGTAGGCGCATCAGGGTTTGGGAAAGGGGGTGGGTGATTCTGAGGAAGTTGGTTTGGGCGTTTATTTTTTTAATGCTTTACCTGGCCACAGTAGTGGCACACAGTATTGGGAGAAATATGGGGGACCTTTTTTGTTGTTGTTGTTGTGTTTTTGCCCACTTTTTATTACCCCACGATCTTTGGATTGGTAAGTTTGTAGCTGCAAAGCTAAAAGTTTTGGTTTTGTGTTTTTTGCTTTAGACAAGCTGTACAGTGGTTGGCAACCGTTATTAATTTAGAAAGAGGTTTTGTTTGCCAGCTAATACAAATAGTTTTAGCTGCTGCTGAACCTTTGGCAAAAGTCCCTGAACAAAAGCAGCTCTAACTGCTTCCTTGGCATTGTTAACGGGCCGAGCTATTCCCAAATGCTGTTTAAACACCTTAGTTAGCCTATTTAAGTAATTAGCAGGGGACTTGCCCTTATTTTGTTTACAGCTGTCAATTTTTGTTTGTTTTTTGGGGACAAATTTCCGGAATGGCAGTTACTAAACTTTTTTTTAGCTTGAGTTAGGTTAGCTTTTTGTTCGGGATTAGCAGGGGGCCACTGGGCTTTAGCAAGTAGAGGGTATAACTGCTTGCAAAAGTTGGTTGATGTTAGCCCATGATAGATTATAACATTGAATTACTGTTTGGAGGTGGTTGTTTTTTAAAAAATGTTTGGATTTTTTTGTATATTAGGGAATTTTTTAACCAGATTTTTAGGTGTCCAAAGGGCATGCACTGTAACCAAATTGTTTTTATTTTTAGGCAGTTGTTTTAAGGGAGCCTGGAATAGTGCTGACTACTTTAATTAATTTTTGGTACAGTTGGCGATTGAGTTTAGTGAGATACCGGTGGAATCAGGAACAGCCCCCAACCCAACAAGGCTGGGCAGTACAGCAGGAGACTTCCCTTCCCTTCCCCTCCCACCCCCCCCCGAAAGAACGGCTGGCGAAGCCGGTGCTTGTATTAGCACTGAAGATGCTGCATTTTGAACTGATGATGAGGAAATAACTTGTAGGGAGAAGCAGGAGGCGATGGCTGCCTTTGTAAAACACTACTGCCTGTTTGTAAATTATTAGGCTGCAAAACATGCTGCAGGGGAAGAAGGCGCTACCGGCTGCCAAACAGCACTAAAAAAATTCATAATATTTTTGGCTGGGTTTTTTTTTGCTTTTAGATTTAATTAATTGGGGATACAAGGGAGCTGAGGCAGTTGAAGTTGCTGCTCGGGCTGGGAAACAGCCAGATGCTTTACACCTGGTTTTTAACTTTTGCCTTTGTGTTTTTAATTTTTTGGGGGAGTCTTTTAGACTCTGCACCCGAGATTCATGGAGTCTCTTTGTAGCTTTTTTTTTTTTTAAACTAATAAACAAACTGTTTTTACTGCCCATGTGGGATTTTTGGTGACACAAGAGCGCCTTTGAGGCGGACAATTTTAATTAAATTGAAGGTACCTTTTAGTGGGAATTGTTTAGATGAATTATTACACGTGTAAAAAATTTCATTTTTGTAAGTACTTATAAGTTTTAGGACTATAATGCACAAACATTGAATAAGCAGGTGTACTTTTTGGTGGAGCAGGGACAGTTTTGGACTGATTTTTACCTATTTTTTTTAAAAAAAGTTTGCCCTGCCCGCTGCAATGGCTTAAACTAAAAAAAACCACCATACTATTTAAAAAATTCTTCCTATAAAAATAAAGATGTTTACAAACCTTTTACATCTTTTTTTGGCAGAGCGTTGGCTAGTTGCCGCTTACTTTTAATCGCTTTTAGTGAGATGTCGTACCAGTCAGTGGCTCATAATCATGGGAGAAAGGGACAAGAAGGATAAAGGCACACAACCCTAGATCCAGGCAGGGTGCTTGACAGGCGATGCCATGCAGAGACAACCCCCTTAGTTAGGATTTTTTACCGATTTACTGAGGTGCGGTCCACCGGGCTTGCATTAGAGATGGCCCTGATCACGAGCTTGTGGGTTTTGCAGGGTGCTTTGGGCGTCTTTTGGTGACCCTTACTTACACTGACACACACACACCCCCCAAGGCCCATTTATTTAATTTATACTACGATGCGTTAATTTTTTATACTTGAGAGGTTACCACAGTTTGAGGGCGTTACCACAACACCTTTAATATTTTTGGCCGGACTGAACACACCTGTGTTCTTACTTGAGGGGTCACTACAACCCCCCCAACCCAAAATAGGTTTGACTTAAGTTATATATTGGCTTACCCTGGGGCAACAATTTAAAAAAATACTCTATCAGTCACCTTTCTGGGTTTAATATTTCTTGAGTGGAATAACAGGTCCAAGACCTACACAAAGTAATTGCCATGGCCTCTCACAAGTCATCCAGGTCATACCTACATAGTAGAGCTAGCAGACATTGCTGGATGTGATTCTGCACATAACATATGGCAAGAAACAGTCTGGAAAGTGTTTGTTACAGGGAAGTAGTCATCCAATTCCGCTCACCAAAATGCAACCTGGAAAGATTCAATGACAGCAAAAATCCTTCATGAAGTTTCAGTCATTTTTTACTGTTTTTTTTTTTTTAAAGGAAATAAGACAGAACTCTGAGATTCACAGATACTAAGGTCAGAAGGGACCATTATGATCATCTAGTCTGACCTCCTGCACAACGCAGGCCACAGAATTTCACCCACCACTCCTGCGAAAAACCTCTCACCTATGTCTGAGCTATTGAAGTCCTCAAATCGTGGTTTAAAGACTTCAAGGAGCAGAGAATCCTCCAGCAAGTGACCCGTGCCCCATGCTACAGAGGAAGGCGAAAAACCTCCAGGGCCTCTTCCAATCTGCCCTGGAGGAAAATTCCTTCCCGACCCCAAATAAGGCAATCAGCTAAACCCTGAGCATATGGGCAAGATTCACCAGCCAGATTCCCAGGAAAGAATTTTCTGTAGTAATTCAGATCCCACCCCATCTAACATCCCATCACAGGCCATTAGGCCTATTTACCATGAATATTTAAAGATCAGTTAATTACCAAAATCATGTTATCCCATCATACCATCTCCTCCATAAACTTACTGAGTTTAATCTTAAAGACAGATAGATCTTTTGCCCCCACTGCTTCCCTTGGAAGGCTATTCCAAAACTTCACTCCTCTGATGGTTAGAAACCTTCATCTAAACTTCCCGATGGCCAGTTTATATCCATTTATTCTTATGTCCACATTGGTACTGAGCTTAAATAATTCCTCTCCGGTATTTATCCCTCTGATAAATTTATCACTCTTGCCCAGGAGCTGTCCCAATCCTGATTATTCCAATGAATTCCATGGAGCTGTGGTCACTTTTTTTGATATTACTGGCTCCCCCTATCTCCCAGAGTGTGTTGTGAACAAATCAAAGCCGAACCATTCCAGCACATGAATAGGCCAAAGCCTCGGCTGATTGCTTTTTATAATACTCTTTATTTGATTAAAGGATTTGTATTCTTTGTGTACACTGGAATGTGTTCTATTCCCTAGGTCATTATTATACAGGGTTACAAAACTTTTTTTTTTTTTTTTAATATTACCCCCAAAGTAATTTAAGAAAAATGCTCCTTTGATGTTTGAAACTAAACTTGACTCCATTTTAAAATCATACAGACAAGCAACTCTTGAACACAACTGAATTAAGATTCATAGTCTACTTAACTACAGGACAGGATTTGCTTCCCCTCTCTCAGAACACATCACCCTCACATGGAAAGAACTGGAGTTATGTTTCCTCACTGATGCAATTAAGATAACACGGGAGAGACAGCTAACTTCTTTGGCAGACGACCCTACAAGCATTGGTGTGCACTTAGTCTGAAACAGGTGTTCTCGCGCTGGAGCACAGTGCACGAGTTTCTAGGACTTCCATGAGCAAGAAACTTCATTTCCTGTCGCCCACAAACCAGCGAAATAGTTATGTTTGGATAGAACCATGAGGCCTTGCTACAATGGTGGTTAGCAAGGTTCCTTGTTGAAGTTGTGCGATCAGCCAGGCACAGCTCAGATGTAGTCAGGCTGAGACCACCTCCCAATATCATCAAAAATGGTTCTAAAGAAAGTAGGTGAGAAATGTTTTAAGTGAGGACAGGGTAGACAATGCTATTCCAGCTAGTCAGAGAGGAAACACCTTTTCTATGGTGCAAGGGAGTGTGGCTGTGTGCAGCCCTCGCACCACAGGGCAAACTTAAAGCACTACAGTACATTTGACTTTTACCTGAAATCTCTGTGCTGCAACCAAGGGTTCCCTTCTCCTACTCCATCAGTAAGTGCCAACACTTGGCTCTCCTTGGCTCTTACGTGGGCCCAAGCAGACTTACCCAAGCATGAATATGTCAGAGTAATTCAGACCTGTTTATCGGGTTGAACAAGGCAGGCTCCATACCCTTTTACAAGCTGCGTCTAGGAAGGGCGAAGATGCATACTGGCAGGTATGGGGGCTCAATTTACTGGGGAAGATTCAAATGGATCAAGAAAGGCAACAAAGATTGTTCACTTAAACCAGGCAAAATTATTTCAAGCATCTGGCCTAGGGGCTACACCAAACAGTGACAGGAAATTCCAGCAAAAGTGAGTAGTTCCAGGTGCCCCCCGCTTCTGCAGTTTGAACCAGTCAATTCAGAAGCTGCATGCTCTCTGCCAGCTGGAAGACAACTCTGCTCTAACTCACACCAAAGGCACATGGGCTCACTGTGGGAGCTGGCCCAAGTGCAGGTCCATCACCAAGAAGCAGAGCTGAACAGGCAGCAAGTCAGGAGTACAGGTAAAGGGAAGGAACAGGTTTACTACAACCACCCAAAACCTCAGCTTTAAAACTGAGGCCTAGTCTGATCAGCTTATCCCATTCCCAAGAGAAAGGGATCCAGCAGGCATAATGCCCATGTATAGAATATTTTAATGCATATTTGAATCCATGGAAACAAGTGCTGGAGGCAGGGGATAAGTTAAAATTGCAACAATCATAACAAAAGAAACAGAACTCTTGATATACTAAAAAGGAAGAGAATGAGGTGTAGTTTCATTCTGGCATTGAGCTAAGTAGCCAGCTTTGTGGGAGAGAGGAAGGGGAGGTATCAAAGCCAGGATTTCTCAATGGAGATCCTGCTTTACTGATGGCCAGTACAATCTGCCAAAGAAATTAGCAGCCTTTCCCCCATACGATCATGTCAATTCTCTGCCAAAGAATGCCCGTGACCCAGGAATACTGCAGTTGGGCAGACAGAGCCGTGTGTCCTAGCAGAGAGAGGGCTGCGGCGTTCCAGACATTCAGAATAAACTTCAGCCTTTTTTTCTTTTAATTTAAAAAATTCATTTGTTATTCCCTGCTGCTGGTGTTACAGGATTTCGTATTTGTCCACCAAGAAGGTGGTCTCCGTGGAAAACCTTACAGGGCTGTTCCCATCTACCTGGGTCACTTTGGTAACCTGTGGAGATAACACACACAGTTAGTTCAGCACTTGATATTCTACCTCCAAAACACAATTAAGCAGAGGATTTTCAGTTCACACCAGGACAACAAAGGGGTTGGGGTGGCTGGGCACATCATCTCTGAACCACAATGTCAACTTCAGCTTGAGATCCTAAGTAAGAAGAGTGTGGTTCTCAGCTGTCCTTAGAGGACAAGGATCCAGACAGTTACCTCATTTAGGATAACAACTAAGTCTCTGCTCAGAGCACCCTGGACAGAACTGAACTGAATTGTGGCTTCTGGTTAAGGGTCAAGGAGGAGAAAGGTCACACTGCAGCTGCTCATTTTGACCAAGCAGGTAGATAATTAGCCTTCAGTTCCCCATCCTGTGACTGTTTACCCCACCCAAACAAGCCTTGACATTAAGACAAAGGGAATTTTCATTTGTTTCAGGTGATCTATCATCCTTCGCTTTCCACCCCAGAACACTTCTCAAACACTTTGATAAATGGATTGCTTTAGCCACCATCTCATGAGGACAAGCATGACTAATGCTTAGGAGAGGCACTGAGGAAGAAATCCAGATCCAACTGAAATTGCAGGGCAAGTTTTAGAAAAGCTGAGTGGAATTATCTGAGATGGAATTTGGCCAGGATACCAGCACTAATGCCCTAGCTCATGAAAAATATCTTTAACACGGGTGCCTAGGAACTGTCTCTCTTATGAAGGAGATGGCAGCATAACGTCCCTAACATCGGGCTGTGTGCACTTACAGAGGGCTGGTCTACACTACTGCAGTAAACAGATCTAACTTACACAACTTAGAATGGATATAGAATGGCTTCCGTATGAGGAGAGGTTAATAAGACTGGGACTTTTCAGCTTGGAAAAGAGGCGACTAAGGGGGGATATGATAGAGGTCTATAAAATCATGAGTGGTATAGAGAAAGTAAATAAGGAAGTGTTATTTATTCCTTCTCATAATACAAGAACAAGGGGCCACCAAATGAAATTAATAGGTCGCAAGTTTAACAAACACAGGAAGGTGTTTTTTCACGCAACGCACTATCAACCTCTGGAACTCCTTGCCAGAGGGTGTTGTGAAGGCCAAAACTATAACAAGGTTCAAAAGGGAGCTAGACAGATTCATGGAAGATAGCCACTGATGGACCTATTAGCCAGGAATGGTGTCCCTAGCCTTTGTTTGCCAGACTCTGGGATTGGGTGACAGGGCATGGATCACTTGATGATAACTTGTCTGTTCATTCCCTTTGGGGCACCTGCCATTGGCCACTGTCAGAGGACAGGATACTGGGCTTGATGGACCTCTGGTCTGACCCAGTATGGCCGTTCTTATGTTCTTAACTTCAGGTACGTGAATAACGTAACTGAAGTGGACGTAGTTAGATCCACTTACCACTTACCGCTGCACTGTGTCGATGGGAGAGCATCTCCCATCAACTTCCCTTACGTACACTAATCGATGGGAGAGTGCTTCCCCGTCAATTTAGCGTGTCTTCACCAGACCTGCTAAATCAACACTTGCTGCATCGATTGGAGCAGTGCAAACGGGGCAAATATGCCCTGATTCACCACAACCACCTCAGGTAGCACTTAACCATTTCGTGGAAGATTCCCATTTAGTGCTAATCTAGCCCCACCTCCCTAACTTGAGAGATCTGAGAAACCACAGCACAAGCCATCCTCATTACTGCTGCCTATCTTTCAGCAGTGCCAGGTGGGAATAATGTACTGGGCTGAAGGAAGAGTAGCCTCCATTCAACTCGCAAGAGCTGAAAAGCAGTGAGTGGGAACTGCAGCAATATAAAATGAAGAAGCTACTCTTGGGGAAGATCCAGCAGAAAAAGATTAAGAAGAGAATCTGTCTGAGAAGAGAATGGTGCAACAGGGTGTGTGGCAGAGCAGCCAGCAAAGGGAAGCAAGGGCTGGACGGTATCAGTATCAGGACAGCTCCAGGAGTATCAGTGACACAGGTGAGTGGGTGCTACGAACGCAGAGCCAAACACCTGTCCACAAAACAATTAGTGTGCCACTGCGACTGTTCATTCTGAGGACTGCAGTGCATTGGGCTTCTAGGCAGAGCCTCCCAAGCTCTGCACCAGAAGGACACATAAGAAGTTGGGGGTGGCCATACCTGTATGTTGCAGTAATTCTTTTTGGAGATGAAGGAGACTTGCACTGGGAAGAAGTCATTGGGCTGCCCGGCTATGCTGAACTCCAGGCTGCCACTCTTGTTTTTGGCATCTATCATTGGTAAGCACCATTCAAGGAGATTCCTCCTGCTGTCATGGCGATACTCCCCATCAATCTCTCCAATCACTGGGGCGCCAACACTGGACCTATAGCAGGGCAATAAGGAGCTGCTCATTTGCACACAGGTTAAAGACACACTTGTAACAGCCCCAAAGGGGACAGCTCAACTCCTAAAAGCTCTCCAAGAGCCATGGGAAGGGCCCCACCAAATTCACGGCCATGAAAAATGCATCACGGACCATGAAATCTGATAATTGTCTTGTGTGCGCTTTTACCCTATACTATAGCGATTTCAAGGGGGAGACCAGTGTTTCTCAAATTGGGGGTCCTTACCAAAAGGGGAGTTCACAAGGTTGTCTTAGGGGGTCACAGTATTGCCACCCTTACTTCAGAGCTGACTTCAGAGCTGGGTGGCTACAGAGAGGCAGCTGTTGGCCAGGTGCCCAGCTCTGAAGGCAGCGCCTCTTCCAGCAGCACAGAAGTAAAGCTGCTGACTGAGGGCCCAGCTCTGCAGGCAGCAGCGCAGAAGTAAGTGTGGCAATACCAGACCGTGCCACTCTTACTTCTGTGCTGCTGCTGGCAGCAACTCTGCCTTCAGAGCTGGGCTCCCGGCCGGCAGCCGCCGCTCTGCAGCTGCCCAGCTCTGAAGGCAGCGCTGCCGCCAGCAGCAGCACAAAAATAAGGGCGGCAGTACTGCAGCCCCGCTATAACCACCTTGCAACACCTGGAACTCCTTTTTAGGTCAGGATCCCTACAATTACAACACTGACATTTCAGATTTAAATAGCTGACATCATGACATTTACAATTTTTTAAATCCTACGACTGTGAAATTGACCAAAATGAACCGTGAATTTGGTAGGGCCCCAACCATGGGTGAGGGAGGGAGAACAGTCAGTCCGCAAAGGGTAAGAGAGGCAGTCACAGCTCCTCAGATGGGGGAACAAGACAGCACTGGATTTACAGCAGACACATGCATTTCATATGAATGCCATCCCCATGATTGCTGGAAAGGGAAAGAACCTACAGGATATTTACAGGTACTTGCTGACTCCAGCCCCATCCCCAAATCCTACTTACGGCAATGGGATTGTGATGACCACATCATTCAGTTCTAGGCTCTCCTCTTGCAGCTCATATTCAATGTTAACGTCACAACCATTCCCACTTTCTGACGGCCAGCAGTTAACTAAGGGTACAAAAGCGCACACTGGATCATGTGACATTGTTCTATAGAAACAGGCCTCTAGAGAAAGACACACTTAGAAAAATGCAGGACAGCACTGAATGAAGGAGGAATAGTCATCAATATCAATCACACTCAAGAGCTGCCAGCCCACTTGACTGAGTTGCAGAGCAAGAAACTCAGTATCATCTAGCATTACTGAAAATGGCTGTTGACTGGCTAAAGTGATTGTTACAGAGGGAAGAGGCACTAAAATCATGTCTTCCCTTGGATAATATCAAAGAGTAAAACATTCTGCTGAAGGCAGAGCCTGCTGTAGCAGATGAGTTGTCATTTCCTATCCAAGGCCAATCACAGCTTCTTCAGCCCAGGCTCCAGTATCCTACCTTAAGAATGCCACATGCATGCTTTCACTCACTTGTCAGTGGAATGAAAGACTCTTCTGTGGTCTGCAACCTCCATTTCAGCACCCCCACATCACTGTTAATGGGGAATGATTTCTCTGGGTTCTTCAAGCCAATCAGAGATTCAGCAGTAAAAAGTTTCTTGTCCACATTTGGGTGAGTCTGAAATGAAGGAGATGGGAACACACAGACTGGGTAAACTGTTCATTGTTTTAGCTTTAACTCAATGGAGAGCACAAATTTGTCCAGGTAATATTGTTTCTTGTGAGGTGCTCCTGACCACACACGAATTCCTTTGCCAGGGAAAAATGCCGACTTCGAAGTGTTACAGGATCTCAGTTGCTGGGCAATCCAGAGTTCACTCCAAGAAACAGAAGGCCAGTTTACCAAAAAGTTTCATTTAGCCTATTTCTCCAATGCTTTCCTTTTAAAGGGGATTCTAGCAGATAAACTGGGGCTGACATTTAGGTTTTTATAAAATAAGTTTTAATGAAGCTTGAGATCATCAGGAATATTTCCACTTAAAAATAAATTCAAACTGAAACTTATTTTTAAACAAAAGAACAGCCCCCTGCCTCCTGCAACTCGGTGGAACAGACTAGACACTAGTGAAACTCTTTTCCTTGACCAAATTCAGATAAATGCAAAAGTTAAACCATCTAAATAGGGAAAATTAACACTTGGATTATAAAAAACAAGTTTATTATACTATAGCAATAGATGTGTGCAGCTATTTCAGCAAAGCCACTTTTTGGTGATTAGCATCTAAGTTATATTGGGAGGAGAGAAGCTGTCACTGCCACCTGACTCTTCCTGGAGCAGCAGGTGCTGGAGTGTTGAGGAAGAATTCTCAGCCCCCTAGGAAAGTGATATCCTGGGAAAGTCCATCACTGAACACAAGACCCTCTGACCAATTAAGCAGAAGCACTACCGAGTTTGTAGAAGTTCTAATGATGGCCATGACACAGGGCATATGAAGTGGGGAAACCTTCAGGGCTCTGCAAGCACATGGAACCACGTGGAGAGAGGAAAGGTTGAACATGTGACAGTCTCCTGAGTTTACAATACTGACTGTAGCCCAAAAGCTGTGGTTCTAGAGACCGTCTCTGATATTAAGAGCAATGACAACAGCAAAAGTAACTGGGAGAATAAGCAGTCTTCTGATTGATTAAATCATTTTTCATTGGCTGAGAGTAACTTGATACAAACATTCTCTTCCTTACAAAGGAAGCTCTCATGATATAACTAGTGTCAAGCAACACACTGGGACTGTTGCAAAGTCCAAGTGAAATCAAGTGTGCGTCAATATACATCACAGGATAGATAAGGCTGTGGGAGCATGATAAGTGTAAGGAACTGTAGTTTTCAAGTTAACTTGAGTCTTTTGAGCATGAGATTTAGCTGTTTATTTGTGCTGCACTTATATTTACTGTAACTGTGTGCTATTTTCCACTGTATCTATTGGGAGAACTTGGATAAAAATATACAATACAGTGCTGCTACCATCCACGACAGAAGCATGTACGGAAGCCAGGACCATCAGCCAGCCTTACCTGTAGCTGTACCCCCTTCTTGTCTTCATTTTCTACATGGAGGCGAATCCGGGCAAACTTTTCATCTAAGATCCTCAGCATGATCATGCCATGCAGCTCCATGTTCTGTAACCCGCCATCACGGCCACAAGTCAAGGAAATCTTCTCCTCTATTTTCATATGCACGCTGCACAGAAAAGAAAGCCCAATACACACCAAATGCCCTGGTTTGACAGGCAAGATGGTTATTTCCTCCCTTTAAGATCTGACAGGGACAAACTAAGTTTTTAAAAGGGTGTCCAAGAAGATGATGTCATAAAAAGAATGATCCAGAGCAGAGTGGTGCAGAACAGAATTATGGAAACATGCTCTTCTGCTCTAAACAGATTCACACAGAAGACACTAGAATCAACTGAGTGTGGTATAAGTCTCGAACAGATGAGAGCCTAAATACAGAACCCTGGCTCTTCTTCTGCAGAAAGCTCAGGCAGTTTTCAAAAGAAAAAGCTAGACACTGGGAGGAATTCTACATTTTACCTTAAAAACAAAGGGACACCTTTGGTGCTTCAAAAGACACTAAGCGAGTTTATGTACTGCACTGCCAAGCTATTCTATTCAGAACAGAACAGAAAACATGTAGGCAATATGAAACTTGTCTAGAAAGGAGAGCAGCCCTGGTCATGTTTCACTTAATCTCATAAAACTGGTATGTCATCTCTAATGGGAGCAGATGGCTCTGTGCTCCAACATGGAAACTAGAAATGTGCATACATGTACTCTAACTAGCAATTAGTCAGGAACTCTTCAAGACTCCACCAACACTCAGAGCAGGGAAAGCAGATTTCTGATCCAGCCACCTCGATACTTGGTATCTGCTGACAAACTGAGAAGTCCCAGACAAAAGCAACAAAAATAGTTAAGGAGTCAGAGGAATGGAAGTATGAAGAACTATTACAAACTCTGTATAGTTTAGCTAACAGCAGATGGGGGAGGTGGGAAGACAGCTGTCTCAAAGTATCTGAAGGATACAGACACCAGGAAATGAGAGTATTGGGAGAAAGGGAAAAATTAGGCTGGATATTTGAAACGAAAATTCAAAAGGGTAACATTTCCAAATCACCTAACTGACTTAAGAGCATGAGTCCCAATAGCTTTCAATGAGATTTATGCTCCTAACCACCTAAGTCACTTTTGAAAATGGGACTTTGCCTAAATGAATTCAGAGCCTCTTGAAAATTTTACACAAGAGCTAAAGGTCAGCATGTAAGAACCGAATGGTGGGAAGAAATCTATTTTATAAAATAAAGTGAAGAGCTTTGACAGATCTAAAAGCCATCACTGGAGCCTGCAGTCACACTGAAAAGAGCATCCTCTTACAGCCCAGGACAATACCTACCTCTCCATGTTAATAGGTGGAGCGAGAACCTTGGCTGCCTCTGAGGAACGCTTGCCTACAGAAGAGGTCATGATATTTTCTCCTTCTGATTTCAGCTTGTCCACAAAGTTGTCCACCTCTTTCCCTTTAGCTCCAAGCTTCAAAGCCTTACTGGGACCTGATGGTCTAAAGAACAAAAATAAGATGTAAGCATCTATCCAACAATTATGGTAGCAGATACAAACTTTCCACAATTTTTTCACATCATTACAATTGGACCATTCCATCATCGCAGCTTTTACTTTTTGAACCCTTTTCAAGACACGTTAGGAATAGAAAGGATAGTCTTGTGGGTAAGGTACTGAACTGGGACTTAGGAAATCTGGATTCTGTTCCCAGCACTGCCAATTGCTCTGTGACCTTAGGCAAGTCATTTAATCCATACCTCAGTTCCTCATCTGTAAAATGGGGATAGATCTGTGAGGTAGGACAGTATAATTTTATCTGTCAGGTTAGATTCGTTAATGTTATGAGGCACTTGGAAACGGTCGTGGTGAGTGCCACAAAAACTCCTATACATAAAAAGGGCAGTCTAGAGAGCATGTGATGGCTGCGACAAGCATGGGCAGCAATTTAGGCTGTTAGAAGAACAAGTACAGATCCACCCAAGGTCAGAAGAGAGGTTTCTGCTTTATGAAAATTCTCAATACTGCTTTAAAACAACCCAGTGGGAGTATCCAGCATTTTTATTCCACTCAGCAGCCGCATGCACAGAAGCACCATGATTACTAGAAAGCTGCAAACATGCAGAATCATGAGGTAAAGTCAAAGCTCAAGACATCCAAAATACATGTTAGCTGGTAGAAAAACTCAAACTTAGCTAGAAGAAACTGACATATGCACAAAGTAGTAGAGAGCACTAGCGCACACCCACTGTCCATGGGTACCTCCCTCACTTACATATTGTGCATTTTTTAACATCCCTCTAGATCATTTAATTTCAGTTGTCTAGCAAAGCAGTTAATCAGCAGGACAACCTAAAACTGGACTCTCATTTTCACAAACAGTCCACAATATCTTTTCTCTTGTTGATTGATGCACTCTGTCTTAGAGCCCTGCACCGGACCATTTTAATCCGGCTCCCACTATTACAGCAACAGATCCTGCGGGACCCCAATCCTGATGTAGGAATCTACACTAGTCCCAGGTAGGGCTCTAGTCTACCTGAACCAGTTTCATACCTGGCTGGTGCTGGTGCTACTTTGGGCTTCTCTGTTTCAATAATGGTCTCTGTGATCATGGCTGCAGTCGTGCCCCCAGACACAGCCGAGCTGCCAAATCCACCGAAGCCTGGAGCTTTTTTGCCCTGTCTCTCTGCATCCCTTCGGGCCTGCTGCAACTCCTTGGCTTTACGGCGCATTTCAGCCTTTGCCTCACGCTCTTGAGTCTAGAGGAAAAAGATCAGAGACTGACTAGACCTTTAAGACTTTGCTCTATTCCGTGCATTAATCAATAAAAGAAAGAGGAGATGAAGGCAGGACAAATTTATTTTAACATTTTGTAAACAATTTGATCTGAAGAATTAAGGGTTATGATCAAACCTGGAACAAACAGCAACTTCACAGTACAAAAAGCAGTAATTCCTGGACACACGACAGACTATTTCATTTCAAACAACTAAGACATGGAATGGCTCTGCCCCACCTCTCTGACTGCTCGGAACACCTTCTCTTCATGTGAGTCCATCTCTGTGAAGGTCCGAATTTGTGCCAGGTTTACGTTCTCACGGTAGCCCAGGGCAACAATTTCATCAAAGGCAAAAATCAGGTCAAAGCAGTGCTCAGAGATCTCGTTCTCCTCCAGAGCTCGGCAATATTCAGGAATCTGGTTAGGGAGAATAATTAAAGAAGAGTCTCCACAGAGGAAGAGAAGATGACTACCTCAGCAAACCCTCCTACCACATGTACAGGGTGAATTCATCCCTGTGCAGAGATTTAGCAGAAGGCCTATGCACTACTTACATTCTATTTTTATGGTGTGAGACTTAAGAGGTGCTGCGGCTTCGTGTAGGATCTGCACTGGGGTTAATTTCAACCAAAGGCATCACTTCTGTAACCCTCCCCGCCTCACCTGGCCCCAAAATGCCACCCCAACACTGTCTATTTAAAGCCATTAACCAGTCATTGCTTTTTTACACTGCTTAATAGGCAGATTGAATGTCACTATTAAAGCATGCACTTTTAAGACTAACTTTAAATATAATATTCTATTTGAGCTACATTTTAACAGAAGCCTGAACAGGCAGCAGATACTAAGCTGTGATTTCCAAGAGTTCCCCTGGCTGTATCTGGCTGACAAACAAAGCTTTATACAGACAATACTATGCAGATAGATTTTTGCAGTAGGAGTACTACTATAGCAATTGCATACAGTAAATTAAATCCACTCTACTTATTTATTTTGTACAACTGGTACAAAAGTTTTGTTTACAGCACTACATACTTGTTAACAAATACTTAATTTACTGAAGGATTGGGCTGTTTTGGTTTAAATCTCATTGATTAACTCAAAGCCAGAGACTTCCTCCACATGTGTCTCAGTCAAGGAATAGTGCAGAAGCTTATGGAATCACACTCAATGATTACTTCCGGGTCACTAATGGACCATAGGAGATCAGATTCTATTATGAGGCAGTAGATACAGTAGTAATAGCTCTCCAATACAGCACTCTGTAACATCATTGCTTCAATACAAAATTCAGATGATCTTGTCCGAAGTAAGCTTGGAATAAAGTCCTTACCACTCTAGAGAAGAGCCGGAGTGTTTCTAGATCTTCCAGGATATTGCTGTTTTTGGTGGTGATCAATACCATATACAGCTTCTCCATTGGCTGATATACATATCGCACACTCTCTGTCTCCACAAACGTGTGTTGTTTCCCAGTGTTCATAAGTTTGGGGAAGGCTGCCAGCAGCCCCTCAATGCGGGTTCGAGTCATCTCCACGAACTGCCGAGAAACTATGGCCTTCCCTGCCTTTGTGCAGACGGCTGCCGCCAAGAGCACCTATGGGGAATACAAGCAGTGGTTAGTTTAATTCATCAAGCAAACAGATTTTCTGAGACTAGACAGTCTCACAAAACCTTTGAGATAACGTTAATTGTCTATGTAGGTGAAACTCTGGTCAGAGACCATATATTCACGCTCATCTGTATAGTGCCTAGCATACTTAGTGATAAACAAAAAACATTTTCATGAACATGTATATTTTTCATCCATGCTTCCTCTTAGCATGGCGAACAGAATTTTTCAAGGGGGAGACCCACTTCTGTTTTTGGTGCTCCTCCCATTCCCACGTTCAGAGCTGACATAGCTAAGCTAATTCACAGACTAGTTTTAACACAGAGGTAGGGTACAGTAAAATCGCAAAAGTGTTCTGAACACTTAATAATGCACAAGCACACAAAAAAGGATCTCAAATGCTACTTGCTAGAGTAGCAAAGTAAGTTATACATTCCATTAACATTGTCTTCAGTGAGGCTACTAATAGTTCAATCACACCAAAAGATCACTTGCCAATGGGAAGGGCAAGTGTCAGAACACAGCTACGAAAACATTAACCGCCTGCAATGCCTTCAAAGTGCTTTGGCCATTATTAAAATGATGCTACCTTTTCCATAGATAAGCTTGTTTAAAAGGGACATTTATGGAGTTTAGGCCCAAAATGTAGCCTTTGAGGAAAAATATAATATTTTTACCACATCTACTATAAACAGAAAGGATTTAATGAGATTTCTTTTAAAGGTTCTTTTCACCAAACTTGATTTTCTTAAATGATATTCCCAGGTGGTACTGGAAACCCACACTGGAACATCCTGTAGTTGTAGTAGAACAAACACAGAGCTCTGAATGTTATCATGAAACTGACAAGCCATGTTTTATTGGCCAAACTGAGTAACACGCAAAAAGTAATCCAAACGCAAAGATACTGAAAAGTAAGGTAGAATTGTTTTAAATTCTATTTTAATATAAACATTAAGAACAAATGAGGAAATGCTTTTAAATTTAAATTTTTCTTTTCACATTATCCCTTTAAAAAGTCAATTGATAACACATTTATGCTAATAAAATATTAAACATATTAATTACTGTTCATTGAGCATCTCTTGGGCTTTTCATAGATGTTATCACATTAATGAAATTCAAAAGTAGTGAGACGGATGCCAATTTATCTCTTATAGTTCTATCAGTCTCCTGCAGCTTCCTATCAAATAATTTCTCTCTAATGGAAAAAGATTACCATAACTTCTCAATTGAATTGTTTAGCCATACAAGGCAGATTCTGTTGAAGTCTCACAAAGATGTTGCTTCTTTATTTTGAGCTCTTTGTTAGTTAAGCAAATAGTGCAATTATCAAATATAGACAAATTTAAGACCCTTTGCCAAAATATGCTCATAACCACACATTGCACAAGCTACTCATAGCTGGACATAATGCTTGGATGCCTTGATGAAACTGATTAAACCCCATCCAGACAGCAATGTCCTTACATTAAACCAACAACTCAGAGAGTAATGCAAGTCCATGGTATGGACAGGTTAGAAGTGAGCCTCAGGCTCCCACCATTGCCTAGTAGGGACTCAGAGCATGGTGCTGGACAGTCCAAATGCACCAAGCATACTTACTGCATCACTCACAATTAATGCCCCCCTTTAAAGGGGCACTTCTGTATGAGGGACTGGCAGCCTTTTTGGAGATGGGATCTCCCATCAGATGAAGCAAAGGATTGTGAATGGAAAGCAAGGACAGGACTGAAAAGTTTACAGCCTTCAACTTTCCTAGGATGGCTGAGTCTGACCTACTATCACTTGAATGAGACAGTAAACACACACACAAAAGAACATGAGGCTACACTAAAGAAGACAGCCTTAATATTCTTAAAAGGCCTTTAAACTGTACAGGCAGTTTACCTAGGGGAGTAATCACAGGTTATTGTATGCTTATAAGGTACCACAGATCCTGTAATTGACACTATGCCTCTGATTCAAGAGCTACCACTTTGGAAGCAAAGACTGATTATGTGTCATTGCTTCATCCCAATCACTGACAACCCAAACAGAACAGCTTATAGGACTGTAAAAAGGGCATGTGTGTCAGGTTTGAGCATATTCCACTGTTCAGTCACACCATGTGGTTTTGGACATTGACCTGTTAGTGTTTATTCGATGTACATAGTACTTCAATAACCGTGTCAAGAGAGGAGATTCAGAAAAGTTAACAGCATCCTCAGTCCCTACTCTGCAAGGATCCAGAGTATGAAAATACTGTTTTACCATATTAAATGTCCCAGTGATCTGAGTAATCTAAGACTACTAGATCAAATATTTCAAGAAATTCCTATGCTGAACTATTACATATGGCAAATCTTGTTTGTAACTTAAAGACAGAATACGTTAGCAAACACCAGTTTCAGTTGTTTGGATTTCTTTAAGTAGACGTAACTAATACTACAAACATGCCACTTGAATATTCAACTAGTTTTTAAAAGGATGGCTTTATTTATTAATCGACAATTTTGTTACTGGGAGGACAGTATCTTCTGGGCGGAGAGAGCACATTACACACACACCACATTATAAAAAAAAAGATAAATTTTCAACCTGCCATAACAATTCTTTTCAGACTACTAATTTGTGAAAGCAAGGGATAAGTCTTTTTAAAGGTACTTAAAATCCGTATTCTGCTATGCAAACAATTAACTCCTTTGGACAGAGGACAAAAGTTAAATTAGGTATTCCTGGTTTGGAACTTGTTTTAAAAGTACATTGTTCTTAGCTTCCCTAAATTAAGTAAAGCATTTTCCCAGCAATAAAAGGTTATAGCAAAGCAATTCCTTGTAGAAGGAGCCGTGAAATGTGAATAGTGAAAAATTATATCAAACTAATACTCAATCACTACCCGATATTTGAGTAGAAAGGATTTGAAATAATCTATGAACCTGAAACAGGGATTAAGTTATACAGCACTTGATTTTGATGCATTACACATTTTGCTTACTAAGAAAAGGTTCAAATTACTTCAATTTTTTTTCCCATTAGTACAAATACTTTTTCCCATTAAATTCAAAGATCACAAAAATAGCTTGAGGGAAGAACAATTATTCAAAGGAGCAATCCCAAAAGTTAATGTCCTTTTAAATTAAGCTGTCCTTTTGTGTATATTATCTCATGCTGCACTTTGCTTGCTAGATTGTCATGACTTGTTAAATGAACTAGAGGAAAATTTGACAGGTTGTAATTAAAAATCTTTTCTCTGATCAAATCCAAGTTATTTCACCACCTCCAACAGGGTACGAAGCTGTTTTAAATCCATTTACTAATTTATTGAGCAATGTAAGCAAATTACACACTGTCTTTGGTCACAAAAACCACACGCTTGAAACTGTGTACAAGCCATGCTACTACAAAGGAAGGAGAGTGAAATGTGATTTACTGCAATTAGGAGCCAAGCTAGCCTCTTTACAATACAAATAGCTACTATACCTGAGTTCATAAAAAGAGAAAATAAAATAATTGCGTACCAGTTTCAAATCCCCTGCACGAAGCAAGATGGGTAACAATTTGTATAGATCGAAGTTCAAATACAGATCACATAGCTCTTCTAATATGTTTGTACAAACTCTGGATTAATATTAAACTATGGGACTAGTAATTCTGCATGCCCAACTTGCCATGCCTTAAAGGAACCTGATTTTCAGAAAGTGCAAAATAACCATTCTCTGAAAATAAGGTACCTTCAGTTGAGCACTCAAAGTCCATGTTTAGTTTTGAAAACGTTGGCCATGGACTATATAAAGAAACCAACATAAGTGCATTTTCTATAAGGACAGGGATCTGAGGTCACAACAGGATTGTAAGGACAACTGAATTCTTTCCCCAGACCTGTCATTGATTCATGTGATTTTGTGCAAACCACTTAACTGCTCTGTACCTCAAGTTTTACCAACCTAAAATTGAGATAATATCTACATCACAGGGTTGCTATTGCCTGTAAAGTACTGTAAAAAAGCATGTATGATAATACTGTAATTCAAACAGCCAATTTTAATCAACTGTATATATAGTCATGATATTATATATGCATATATACACACGGTCCATTTGTCTCATGTATGGCAGGAAAAAATACTAATATTTTGCATTTCTATAGCACTTTTCATCTGTGAAATCTAACTGCTTTACTCAATATTCAATACTCTCACATCAATATAATTATATTGGTATACGTGGGGAAACAAATATACAGAGACAAAATAGCATGCCCAACGTTCACTCTGAGGGACAGCAATAGGAAGAAGACTACAAGAGTCCTGACTACAAACCCTGTGCTCCAACCAGAAGTTTTCAAACTCCGGGCCGCAGAGCACTTGCTGGTCACTGGTCCTCCTTGTTTTCAGCTGTCAAATTAGATTGAGATCCAAACCATACTAGTCTCTTTTTCCTTGTAAGCAGCTGCTGTCGTTGCTGCAGAGACCTTATGTGATCAAGAATGGGAGTGGAGGTCTGCACAATGCGGAACGGGAGGCAAAGTGCCCCCAAGACACCCCCTCTGTTACACGGGGGCTGGCTCCAGGAAGCTCTGGGAACCCTGCCGGAGAAGGCTGCTTTGCGAGGGGGCATAGGCGTACCTCAGAGGACCAGTCCCAGGTGCAGGCATGGCGGCCTGTCCCGGGTCCGTGCACGGAAGACGTAGGGGATCTCCGGCTGTAGCGGGGAAAGGCACGCACCGCTGCTGGGGTGCAGGGTGGCAGCCAGAGAGGCAGGTCCCACGCGAGGGTCTGAGAACTACGGCTTCAGCGACAACGAGACACAAGCCGGTGGGGAGCCCCGGGGCCTGAGACTCCTTGGCTGAGGGGACCAGTCTGTTTCCACGGAGCGGCCTCTGCGACAAGGCGCTAGGAAGGGGCACGAAGAGGCCTGGTACCCCCTTATTTCAGGGCTGGGCCCAGCTCCTCGCCCCCACCCCGTGCCCCACGGCCCAGCCTCCCGCGACCGGCTCAGGCCGGCCCAGCCACTCCGAGTACCCGCTACCCAGGAGGCCAGGCTGGGGATGCGGCCTGGTCCTTACCATGGCGGCGGAGCGTGTGTGCGGCCCGGCGCGCTCAGTCTCTCGCGGCCTCAGCAGCGGCCGCCGCGTCTCCCTCCAGCGGCCCCACAAGATGGCGGCGCCGAGCCACGTCCCCAGCCGGAAGCGCCGCCACGCAAGGGGGCGGGAGCGTCCTGCTCTTCCCCCGCCCCGGTAGGGGGCGCAGGTCTCGGGCCTTCCGCCTTGGCCCCCGTGGAGCGCTGGGTCCCGATGCGGGGAGGGCCGCGCCGCCTTCCCCGGCGTGGGGCCCTGCCTCTGAGCCGCATGCCGTCCCCCGTGCCTGGGGGGTTGCTGCGCCAGGGCCGCTCCCGGGTCTGCTTCCCACCCACTTCTAGAGCCAACTGCTCTAGACCAGCCCCCGCCCCAGGCCTCTCCGGCAGATGCCCCACAGCAGGCGAGCTGACCCCGTAGGGAGCGCTGGGCATGGCCAAGCCTGGAGCGAGGGCTTGTCGATGCAACCAGAGTGAAGCTGAGGGGAGTTTGTTTTAGACGGATCTAGGGCACAGGCTAGTCCGGGCCTTGTCCACCTGAAGACCTCGTGGTGAGAGAGGGCCTGCCAATCCCGCCCCTGCTTTCTCCATCCAGGGACCTCAGATTGAAAACTCCTGATGTAGCGCAAACCTAACCCCTGCCGCCTTTGCCCTCCCAGAGGGGCAAGGGGGGTGAGGTAACATTTTTTTTATTGGACCAAACTTCCGTTGGTGAGAGAGACAAACGCGGGAGCTTGAGGCACTCGCCAACAGAAGTTAGTCCAATAAAAGATGTTCCCGCGCCACCCTGTCTTTCCAACACCCTGCCACTCGCACCGCTACAACACTTTTCTTCTCAGACAGGCTGACGGAGGCTTTGACGTGCACTCGGCAAGTTATGACGGATTAGAAAGCTCCCCTTGCCTCGTAGCCCGAGAGGCGTTAGAAGGATTTGCTTTGCTCGGAGTCAGTCTAGTCCATTTTAGAACGCGGCAGTCCCTTTCCCATCCTTCCTGCATTAAAACGATGGGAGTTTGCAGTGCTGTAAACCGATCTAGCTCGGAGCGTTTCTTCCTGCACTGGGCGGGGTGATAGTGCGCTAGACCAAGCCAACCCGATCTCGAGCAAGGCCAACCTGAGTTGGAGCTGTGCATGGGGCTGGCGAACCAAAACCCGACGCGCCGTCCACTCTTTTCTTGCCGTGAAGCTGTTCGACCGCTAGGGGCCGCTGCTCAAAGCTTTCCCATAACCATAGACACTAGGGGGAGGAGACTTCCACGTGATCCTGGGTGAGGCGAGCTGGTCGCCGGAAAGTCGTAGAGCTGGGGCTGCAAATTATCGCGAGAGTTGCTCTCCAATCGCTATGGTGACGGTACAGAGGCTGGGCCCGGCGGGGATGGAGTCCAGGCGGCGAGCAGGGCCCTGAAAGGCCGGGACATGGCGGAGGCCCTGCAGGTGACCGAGCGCCAGCCTGTGGGAGGAGGCGCGGCGGGGGAGGGAGCCCGGCGCGAGGTGCCCGGGGGCGGGACCCGAGTGTCCCTCAGGGGCGCCCGTGGGGAGTAAAACAGTCGCCGGGGGCGTTCGGTGGGATGCCAGCCCCGGGCCTGGGGGCACTGGCCATGCGGGGCTTCTGGGTCCCTAACTGCCCGACGGCCCGCGGAGCGCCCACGTGCCGAACTGGGTCCCTCCGTGAGGCACCCCCAGGGGCAGATGGGACCTTTCACATGAGCAGCATTAAGGAGGTTTTTCATCTTCAAAGTGCTTTGCGGTCATGAACTAGGGCGAGCCCATAATACCATGAAAGGGAAAGTGCGGCCCTGTAAACGTCATCCGAAAGTGTTTGTGTTTATTATTAGACCAAAATAGTCGAAAACCAGCCCTATGATGAGAGTCTAGAGATTAACGACTCAGAAGAGGTTGCCAGTATCTACACACCAACTCCGCAGCAGCAAGGTAGGGAAAGCCTAATTTCACATCCTGCTTCTGTCTATCTTACTAAAACCGTTTGTCTCTTTCCTTAAAACTAAAACGCTGACCAACCTCAGGTATGCTATTGGCAGCTTGATCTTGGTTATTATATCTTCTTAAAAATATTCTGATGGGATTTAAGTCTTCTCCATAAAATTGGGAGAGTGATCAGATTCACTGGGATTTGCTCATGAGCATATTACTATCAGGAGGTAAAATAGAATACATTCACACATTTTTATTAATGAAATGTGCTCATTGCAACAAAGCTAGTGAGATCAGATGTGGTAATGGCAATTGTCACTGAAATCTAGGTCTGCATCTAGGACATGGTTGGTTTAACATGGATTTGGGCTTCACCACCATGGCTAGCCCCTGCATTATATTCTAGTTCAGCCAAAGCAAGTTGAAAATGTGAATAAGCATGATTGTTAAACTTGGTTGTAAGGCCTGTGTAGATAGGGCTTCATTCGTAAGTGCCTCAATGTAACAATCTATGTCGCAATCCCACAACCCAAACTTGGGTAGCATACAGAAACCTTCTTGGTGATCTCTTCAACAGGTCCGAGGTCCACACGTCCACAGCTCAAAAACATGGCTGATAACAGCAGTGATGAGTATGATGAAGAAATAAACAAGGTATGAGGTTGCCCATGTTCTCTGCTGTTATGCTTGATCACAGCATTTTGTAGCCCCATCTACTGGGGCCTTGTTATCTGCATGTTGAGTCCTACTGGGGAAATTGCAGGAAAACAGCTTGGAAAGTTCTGTGATTTTTGACACATTTTGAGTAGAAAGAAATGTCGTTGAAGTATCTTTTGGCAAGACACGTTATTTATACTAGGGTGAAGGTAAGAAGGGTCAGATTGCTCTTTCTTTCAGTTAGAACAGATGGAACAATTTAAGTGTATTAGGAAGAATAGATCTGGAAGGAGATTTTCACATCATGGCAGCTGACACCATCCAGTGTGCATATAATGAATACCAGGCCCATTGTCACTCAGTGGCTGAAGTGGGATAAAAAGAGGGATGGGAAAAACAAGGGCTTACACCCACATTTGGCTGTAAAGGTAGGGAGTGTTTTTTAAAGGTTAGAGAAGATAAGATGACTCTGGGTCAGGACTCCTGGGTTCTGTTTCCATCTCTGCCACCAATCAGTTGAATGACTTTGGGCGAGCCAGTTCCCCCCCATCAGTATTTCAGTTTCTCTGGCTGTAAAGTGGGGTCATACTACCAGCTACCTTGCAGGGACTTGGAGAGGCCGGAGTAATGTTTGCAAATCATTTTGAGATCCTCTAGGAGAAAGACAAATTATTATTTATTAGAACTGAACATTCCCCCCACCACCACTGAAAACCATTCATTCGAGTCAGACTGAGAGCAGTGGCAACCTTAGATTAAATGTCTGTGCTGGCATTCCTTTTCCATGCTACTAGAGGAAGTTGTTTTTTCTTACACAGCTGTGCCCCACCCATTTGTGGCAGTTTTGGACAGAGGGTGTTTTCTGTTTAGAATGAAAGATGATAGAGCTGGAAAATGGGGCTGCTGGAAATGTATGTTGCACCATAACTCTGGTTTTAACATTGACCTAGGAGAAGAAGTTAGCCCAGTTGGCCCCGCAGCGAGTATTTAGTGAGAATGAGGATGGGGAGGATGAGGACGACTCGTCTGAAACTGACTCGGATGATGACGATGATGAAGAGGAGCATGGAGCCCCTCTGGAAGGGTATGAGGGATTATTAATTCCTAATAACAGTGAGAGTAGCCATGTGAATTAAAGTCAAGGTCTCCATTCTGAGAGAAGACTCCTAACTACCCAGTTGAATAATGTTACAGTCTAACAATACTGTGCAGATATGTCTTTAGGTTAGCTATTGTGGGAATGAGGGGTTTAAAAGCTGAGGTAGATAATGTGCAGGTGCAAGTATCCCCAAACAGCTCAGTGGTACTATGGTTGGAGTGCTGCAATGGGAACTGTAAGTCTGAATCCAAGGTTTTGGAGAGCTGTTTTCAGAGTATCAGCCCTGAAAATGAAGATACAAGGATATAGTTATATTAAGTGGGGAGGAGGAGGAGGAATTCCATTGACCATGTGGACAGAAAGAGTGTCACTGGGGTTTAAAAAGCATCAGAAAAGACGCACTGTTCATACAATAGAACTGTTCTTAGACAGCTTGAAAATTGGATTGTTTATTGACACAGATAGGACTCTTAAATTTCAAATACAGCTGCCCAGTTTTCTTCCTGCAAATACCTACTCATGAACTTTATAACCAATGCAATCAGCCTCTTGGAGGTAGTGTAGGGGGTACCCAGGAGCCTGGCATAAACTGACACTTAGTATAATAAACTAGCACTAATAGAGGGCACGGTACATTAGGGGGCCCATTAATATGCTCAATGCATTGTGCTGCACAAAGACAAAGAGTACATTTATTGCCTTTTTGCAGACAATTCATCTGCATACAGATGTCTAGCATGCAAGCCAGCCTGGCCCATGGGAAATAATTGTTTTATCATTACACTTATTGTAATATAACTTTTCTGAAAGTCTGGTCTGCTGCCCATCACCATGGTATTATTAATTAAACTCCAATCAAAAAAAGGGAGTATCTGGTAAAAGGGGGTGTCAGTGTTGTGAGTGGTGTTCTTATGGTGGAAACACGTCTTCAAAGAGGAAGAGTTTGCAGCATTTCCTAAAGATGTCAGAGACTGGATTCTCTTGATCTCTTCTGTAAATTTATTCTGTAGCCAGATCCACCCCTCCGCATAGGTGTGCTAAACTGGGGAAAGCATCCAAGGCCCTCTCTTCCTCTAACACATCCACAGAGAATCAGATATAAGTACCCCATAAAGTTAATCTGCA